CCCCCCCCCCCCCCCCCGTGTGTGGGGGCCTTAGTGAATAACTACCTGTGAACACAGAGAACTGGACTTGGTGATCTGGGAGGCCTCTTTTCAGTCCCATGTTTCTGCCCCATTGTATTGTTTTACCTTGAGGGAGCCATTTGACAGTCCATTTAAACAACACCTATTTAATATCGGATTAGCACTTTTTGAGCTACCTTCTCCTTTGTTATAGATGTTTGACATGCTGCATGTTTGTTTTTCTTTTAATTTTCTCTATGCCTACTGAAAGAGTGTGCTTTTTTTCTTGTTTTGGCATTTAGTGTATTGACTTGTGGAACAAAGCTCTTGTACCTTTGGACTTCACACAAGAGTCCCACAGCAGGAATGTCTCATAAAAGAGGAAATCTTATGGAAAGAATTGTATTGCAGGTAGTGTGTATGTGATCTTTTAAATGTCCCCCAATTTGAGTGTTTTGTTTCATTGCTGAAAGAGTTGAGAATTATCTGTCACTAGTAATAGGAGGTATGTAGTGGAAAAAGGGGTAACTTATGCAATAGACAAAAGTAGTTTGCAGTGTTTGCCTAACTTCAGGCAGAAGGAAAGATAGTTGCATCTTACAAAACCAAAATACAAGTACAAAACAGTGATCCTTGAGCTCTAATGCAATAATAAGTCAGAGCTGGGGAAGTAATGTTTAATAAATCAAAAATTGGGGAGTAACCCCTATCAGTTCGATTCCTTTAAGTATTCTTGTGTGTTTAGAAACTAAGCCATTTTATCTTTTCAGGTTGACTTTCCTTTCCTGGCTTTTGATATTGTATATAAAATTCCCCAAGCTGCAAACAGTTCTGTACACCATTCTATAGAAACATTGGAAAAACTTGTAAAGGAGCGACTTCTTACCATTCTCTCAAAAGACAGCACCTTGGGGTATGTTTTGTCTGCTTTATCTTTTATTTTACCTTTGTACATGCAGACGACTTTTTGGAGGAGGAGGAATGAAGTACATAGGCTTTTTCATGAAATGTATTGCTCTGAAATGTTAATGCAGTTGAAGTTCTGTGACTGACTTTGCCAAGAGCTTCTGAACTATAAAGCCACTGACAGATGTTTAATTAAATGTGCAATGGGATCTTATCTGCAATTCCAATAGTCTCTCCTCCTGCCATACCATATGTGCATGGCAGGAGAGATGATTGTGCAACTGGGGGTCACATCCCAATCGTGCCATGTTGCTTGTACAGGGGGATCCCAGGATCATGATCTTGGCTCCTTGATTTCTGGGCTCCCTCTGTACCAGCAAGCTCCTATGGCCTGGGGCACCAGTCAGCTGATCGGGGCTTCTAGCCATGGGAGTGCCACATCTTCAATTTAAGGCATGGTGGGAACCAGCCACAAAGTTACCTCACACTTTTTGTGTAATAACTTTGTGGCTTATTCTCTGTTTTACTACACCATTAATTGAATGAATATGTCGGCCAGTTACTACTTAAGATGTGATTAACCAGTCAGTAACATCTTTAAATGTGCTGTCTACCAGGGTCCTAATATTCGCAAAATGGTGGGGATATCTAAAAATTTGCCTGTACTTTTCTCAGCTTTATGCCATAACATTTCCCTTGCTATTAAACTCTTCTTTTGTCCCTCTGTACTTGCTTAGAGCCTCTTGGCACAGCAAGTGTAATTTGTGGGTTACTTGCTTAGAGCCTATGGCACAGTAATGGCAAATTAATGGTCCGGCATGTGTTTTTTGGGAAGTAGCATTTTGCTATGTTTTATCTGTATTTGAATTTAAGCTATAGTGTAGCATGAAGAGTTCTGTTTAGATTCAACATAAAGTTTTCTAGCACTTGCAGTCTCTGACCTAATGGGTTCTGCGTAGCAATGTACCGATCTCTGCTTCTCTAATATTTTATCCATCTTGTGGCTGCATTAAGCTTCTAGGTAGCAGATAGCACCTTTTTAAGCTGCATTCAATCCCAGAAGAAGGGATTTATTTTATTTACTTTGGCAAGTGTTTTTGCAATTCAGCATGACCATATAAAAAATGTGATTTGAACTATCCACAGCCTGTCAAAGGAAGATAAAGAGTTTTTGTGGGAGAAACGACATTATTGCCATGGATGCACAAAAAGCTTACCAAAAATACTAGCTAGCGCCCCGCACTGGGACTGTGCAAGCCTTCCTGAAATATACTCATTGCTTCAGCAGTGGCCTCCATTACCTCCTTTGACTGCACTGGAACTACTGAATTCAGAGTAAGCAGAATCGGTGAATAGGAGCAAATGCACACTGTTGCATTCCAGCGATATTTTAAATACTTGTGCTTTCAAAACTTCCATCTGTTTTGCACTGTTACAAATAACATGCTTCTTGGTACGTCCCTGTATAAATTCTTAGAGCTATGGATTGGACATTTTCTGTTGTTCTGCAAAATGCTTTTAACTTCCAACTCTACTGCACATTCTGGTTTTTGTTTACTGTCCATTCGTGTCAACTGTTTCCCTCTTGACCTGCATGGATAGAGGCTAAAAAACTGCTCAATGTTTTTTTACCAAAGTAGTTTTTAAACATCTGTTTCGGACCTATTTTCTCATTCATAGAGAGATTTTCTGATTGCCCTTCTACTGGAAAATGTCATAGTATATTTCTGTCTACTTATCTAAAAGCTCCTCTCATCTAGCTCATGTACTAGAATATACACTGTTACAAAACCGTAAGAACGAAAATATTTACTATTTAGTTTGACAGACTTTAATCACATCTGCCATTGTAATGTTCTAAAATGAGATTACTAATTGCAGCCTAAACTGTAGCATGTGAACAGTAGCCTGGTTAACCAATATTAAACCCAGGATGATACTGTCTTAAGAGATGGGCATATTGTCAAAACCAGGTGGTGATTCATGCCTGCCTGGCACTTCAATAAATGGATGATTTAAAAATTGTTTATGTCCTTGTAGGTTTGCAGATCAGGAAGTACGAACTACGGCTGTTAATTGGATTGAGGCAATAACTGATGATGAGTTAGCAGACTTCCTCCCACAGTTTGTACAGGTAAGGAACCAACTGCTTGCTTACTTTGTAGGTTTATCCAGTATTTCACAGAGGTTTTTTATCTTCACAATACGTATATAATCAATTTTAATTACTAATCAGTGACAGGTGAAGCATGGAGTCATATCTTTAGTGGACTTAAATACCGCTTTACACGTTGGATTGCATAGAACAATAAGCAAATTATACAACATCTTCTGTAGGTGTTAGACTTTATTCTCTGTACTAATAAACAATAACTTTTTTTTTTAAATGACATTGAAGCTTCAGGTATGGTTTTATATTAGTTCCTCCATCACTTAAACTGTGACAGATCCTATTAGATTACTGCTGTAATTCTAGGGTGTATTTGCTATTCTACTGAGCCCCTACATCTCTGGTCACCATGTAACTTTAAATCCTAAAACTAAATACCTAAGAAACTTGGAAAATAATTGTCTTTTTTTAATTGTATTTTTGTTGTGTTTAGGCATTGAAATATGAAACCTACTTGGACAGTGCTCTGGTCAGGTTCATTTTAGCTCGGGCATTGGGAAATATTCAAATAGCACACTACTTGTATTGGTAAGAATTTATCTGTTCGTTGCTTTGTATAATGTATTTCTGGAAATATCAACTTTACTGTAACAAATGATTTGCTGTTTCAGTGCCAAAATTACATGAATATGTAATAGATCAACAAGTGTTGCAGCCTCTGAAGAGTATGTAAAACCTAAGCGTTGCTTTGTTTAATGAAAGGAACATGACTATCTTTCAGGATTTCACTAGATCCTGTAAACCAGTCATTTCAGACATGCATATAGTATTATGCAGTGCTGCTTGTTAATAGCTTTTTCAATAGCTTTGCTATTGAGCTTAGTCTGAAATGTTTACTTTGTAGAAAATTTGACTTCATAGGGGAAAAATCTAACCTGAGTACCTGATATTTTAGGCTGCTGAAGGATACCTTACAAGATCCAAAGTTTGGGATAAGGTACAAGATTATTCTTGGTGCCTTCCTCTCAATATGTGGGAAGGGGCTGAGGGAAGAGCTGGAGAAGCAGACCAAACTGGTGCAGCTTCTGGGAACAGCAGCAGAAAAAGTAAAGCAAGCCAGTGGATCTGCTAGGCAGGTATGTAAGCTTAATTTTTAAATACTATTTGGGTGGGGGGATAAAACTGCTGATTCTGCTTTCATTACCCAGTGATTGATACAGTTCTCAAACTTAAATATAAAAGCCCATAAAACAGTGAAAGCATCAGCAGATATTGAGAATCATAACGTTTTTATCAATGTCTAATTTTTTAACTGAGAGCTATAGTTATGTAATGATGGGAATGAAGGTATTTGTCAGCAGTGGAATAGACTGGCGTTGCTGCAGAAACGTTTCCCATTGCATCACAGAAACTTATAGAGCCTTGTCTACTTACCATTAATATTAAATTAAAATTCTATAGACTAAAGTAACTTTTAGCTTGGCTGATACAGAAATAAATTAATTAGCATAGTGTTAGGACTGTCCTGTTATGTTTAGGATAAGAAGTAAAGCAGCAACGTGCTTCAAGAATTAAGATATTTGCCCTGCTCTTCACTCTCTTCTGCCTTAATTTCTTTGTCTAAAATTTCCTTTTAGATGTTTCAGTTAAGGTCAATTGTGCTTTCTTTTTTTTTTTGTCCGCAGAATGTCCTGCAAAGTGGCATGGAACGTATGCAGTCTTTCTTCCTAAGGAACAAATGCCGTTTGCCTCTCAATCCCAGCCTCGTGGCAAAAGAATTAAATGTTAAGGTACAACACTAATAGCTGTTGATACTAGTGTTGCCTACTTGCAAATTCTGGAAGAGCAGTCAGCATGTAGAAAATTTATTTGATATGTATAAAAGGAGATTATACTGGTTGATGTGTAAATCTTTAGAATTAGTTAATGCACACTTAAATTAGTTGAGCAGAAACAAAGATCCTTCAGAGAGTTATTTCACAATGAAATGAGGCCTTAATCTAAGAATCATAAAAACCTGTTATGTCATCTTGGGTATCCTGAGGGGGAAGGATGAAAAAGTATGATACAATTTTATCATAAATTAACAACCAGTTGGATATTGCAGACAAACTGAATATTCTTGAGCATTGTCTGGGAGAGAATGTAGACTTAAGAACTCTACTGTTACACAACCCAGAAAAAGCATACTGAAATGAGATGTGGTGAAAGCTCCAAACTTGTATTCTCTCTACATTTGCAAGTCTACAATATAAAGAGGCAGCACTAAATCCATCTGTAAAGACTTCTTAAAATTTGTGTGGCTGTTTTTATTCATTCTTCATTTTAAGTCTTATAAAAGGTCCCCACCTTCCACTACTGGCTTCTGTACAAAAATGTAATAAATGTCAGCCCAAGGGCTCCTAGCCAAAGTAAGCATATACTGGTACATTCCCCACAATCACCATGGCAAAAAAGCCTGAGAAACTGTGTACCATATTTGTGGGTTGTAAAACTAAGCGTTGAGCTAATGAATTAAAATCTAGAATTTGGGACCGTTCAGGGAATGCTCATCCTCTACCCCAAAATGTTTGGATCCTTGGACTCCAGTGGAACTACCTAAATTATGTAGACTGCTGCTGAGAATCATGGACTTGCTTGCTTTGGGCACACTTATGTTACCAGACTCAGAATAATAGAATGGTGTCTGGCATATTTTAGAGACGGGTGATTAGTTTGTTCTTATTTTTCATTTGGAGCACTAACTTGTTGTGTGCTAATACTTGGTAGACAGACTTATTTTAGATTTTATGCACTTCACGTAATTTGTGGGTTACATTTTAGTAACAATGCTTTCATTTTTAAAACACGTATGCTAATAAAAAAGGCTTTGTTGATTTGTGTATAACCGTGCAAGGATACATTTGAGAATACATGGGACAACCTCAGGAAAATAGTCATGCCATGTAGCACTCAAATTATTATTCAAGTGAGACTTTTTTAAAATCCATTTTCTTTTAAATATGTAGTAGATTATGCATATTGTCAACACAGTTGAAAAGTCTTACTGGTCTGACTTAAACAAATTTTACTTACTGATTCTGAGACTCCAGAAGTAATGGAAGTACAAGACTACACACTGTAGAGATACCGCTTTATGTTACTTTTCCTACTCGAGTAATCTCAGAGCTTTCTTTGTTAATGTGTTGAATGTATGAAATGTTAGTAACTAAATAGCCGTGATTAGTAATTCCCAAATTTCTCACTTACAAACTATTAATATTGGTTTGAGTGTTAATAAATATTTTACCAGTTGCCTTTCTAAATGATAATTAACCTAAAACTCATTTGCAGGCATGTTCCTTCTTCAGTTCTAATGCTGTACCACTAAAAGTTGCATTGGTGAATGCAGATCCACTGGGAGAAGAAATTAATGTAATGTTTAAGGTATGTTTTTTTTCTCTTTCCTGGTGTATTTGGGGGGCGGGGGAGAATTACAAGGGTTTTTTTTTTGATGGTTAAGTACTTCCAAAAATAGTGACTAGCTTTGACTTATGTCTGCAGGCTAATAGCTGCATCTCAACTATGCTGTTTATTTAACTGATTTACAAGATTCAATATGGAAAAAGTATCTGGATGAATGAAAATAACAAATTTCATAAGACTCGTTAGTGTTTGTAGGAGACTTCAGTTGTACTTCTATAATCCCCCCTTCCCCTTTCAAGGCCATAACTTAAATACTCCTTGATTTTTTCATTACATTTATTCTCATGATACACTTCAGTGGAGCGATAGTTTATAAAGAGGGAACTTTGAGACACAAGTGACCTGGCCCATGGTCATGCAGGGAGTCTGTAGCACAACTAAGAACTGAACCTATATCTTCAAAGACTTCCAATAGTACCTTAACCTTTGAAGTGGCCCCTTGCCCATTCTTGGAGACAAAGCGAAAATTGTAAAAAGAACAATTCTTTCAAATTTGGATCATAAGGGTTAATTAATGTCTGAACGTGCTGTAAAAATCTCCATCATTGCTTTCCACTTGTCCTTTTTTATAAACTTACAGATAAAAGGAAGCAAGTCGGTTGTTGATTTAAGGATAATTTATTTCTTGCAAGGGAACATAACCTGTCAAGTTCAGTTTTGTTGAATGTGTATCCTTTTTATCAAGATGTGTTGTTTTTTTTTGTGAGGTTGGAGAAGACTTACGGCAAGATATGTTGGCTTTACAAATGATAAAGATTATGGATAAGATTTGGCTGCAGGAGGGGCTGGACCTGCGGATGGTTATCTTTAAGTGCCTCTCAACTGGAAAAGATCGAGGTACAGTAACCCAATAAGCACTGCATTCCCCTGCTGCTCCTCCCAGGAGCTGCACTCACATTCTTGGCATAATGTCTACAGGTTCCTCTTTGGAGATGGACCCATTAAATAATTAAGGCCATCAGTAGCTCCCATAAAGAAGCTGACCACTTGGGGGTAGAAGTATTTGGTTCAAATTAAACTGTTTTGAATTTCTTAATGAAGTCCCTGTTAGAGCTATGTTTTAAAACATTTCTGCTGTTGAGACTGAGCTTCCCTGTAATCCCTGCTGTCAGAGATTAATAGAACAAAAACACCCATGGAAACAGTTAAAATAGATGCAGTACAGACATCTGTACTAGAAACTAGTTATTGTTTCAACATGAAAGGGGAAGGGGAACAGTTGCAGTCTTAATTATTCCCAAATAATTTCAGAAAACCTATTTAGGTCAGAATCAAACTGCTAGTGCTTTGACACAGCTGTTCATGGTGTCTGTGGGAAAGGCTGGTCAAACTTTCCAGAAGGCAGGTTAAAAATAATACTTGCCTGTTTTAACACATTCAATTAAAAATATATTATGCATCGTGCATTGTAAAACATTACACGGGGAACATGAAGACTTTTTTTCTTTTAAAGTTTTGTTCATTATGGATTGCATTTGAGTGCATTAAATGTCTTAATTTAACGGTATCCAGGTTGTAGCTATATTGGTCTAGAGGAAAAGGCAATCAGGACTTGTAGTAGAGAGAGTTTTTTTTTGCAAAAATCTTGTTGGTCTACTAAAAGATTTCTTTAATTTTAATTTCTTTAATTTTGCTTGCAATTAAAGAATTTTTTTCTCAAAAATGTTGTTGGTCTAATAAGATATATTCTCTACTACGAGTCCTGATTGCCTTAAATTAATGGAACATAATTTGTGGAAGTTGACCAGATGAACTAATGCATTGTGGACCTGAACAGTTCTGAGAATCTGCAACTTGCAGGTCAGGAGATGTGGATATCTTTCTCAGCAGTTCTTGGGTTAGGTCCCCTTAACAGCACAAATGACAATTTTTAACCATTATCTATAGTGGCATCCAGGTAAAAGCAGAGACTTAGCTAAGAATAAATTCCTGTTTGTGAAGTCATCTGCTTCTGGGCTATACAGAAGGCACTGTGTTCTATAACAGGCTTATTCTGTCTGTCCAGAGCACTCTGGTTGTCTCGGCAGCCAATCACAATGCTTATTGAAACAACCAATTGGAGTGCTACAGACAGTCATAATAAGTATGTTATTATAAAAGATCCTGAGGCACTTCAAACATGTGGGCAAGTCGGAGCTAGAATGAAGCACCGGGGCCCCCTGCCGCAGAGCAGGCAGGCTCCATTGAAAAGAAGGGGGTGGGGGAAAAAGCAGTGAGGGGTCCGAATTTTTTTTCCTTTTCTCTGCTGCTGGCCCCCCTCCCTGAGCCTGCCCATCTCTCCTGCAGCCAGGGGGCAAGTGCTAGTAGGCTCTGAGCTGCGGAGGGGCCCCAGTACTTCCCTGTATGGTAGTGGTGCCCCCTGGGACTGCCCAGGCAGGGTGCCCGTGGGTGGATGCTGCTTGGGGGGGCACTGCCACCACAGAGGGAAGCACCTGGGTCCCTTGCAGCTCCGGCTGTGTGACCCTCCAGCAGCTTGCTCCCTGGCTGCAGGAGATGCAGGCAGGCTCTGGGAGGGGGGGGAAAAAAATCAGACCCCTCACTACTTTTTCCCTGCCCCCAGTAGAACCCGCCCACGCAGACTGCCATGGGATTGCACAGCTGCTGAGTTGAGGGGGCCTGGTGCTTCCCTTTGTGGCTGCGGGGTGCTAGCTGCACAGGTGCAGCCCCAGCTCACAGGCTGCACCTGCACGATCTAACGGTGCACAGAACACTAGAAGCCTGGGCATGTTTAGGGAAGCTCAGGCTTGGCAGGCTTCCTGTGCACTATCCCTGCCACCTAGGACTGCCTGGGACCACTTGGGAATGGATTGGCTGCCCCAGGAAGGTGGCAGGAGGGCAGCTGGGTGTGCTGGCAGCAAGAAGGTGGCGGGAACAGTGCACGGGGCATTGGAAGCCCGACGAGCCCGAGCTTCCCCAATCACGCCCGAGCTTCTAGTGCCCTGTGCACTATCCCTGCCACATTCTCTGGATAGGACCCTTGAATACATGAGGAATATTACTGTAATTTGTTGTGTAGCAAACTGAAATACATAGGATGTGTCTTAGTATGCTACGTAAACAGGTCGTTTAAATTGAAATATGCCGCTGAACATGTACATTGTTACACAAATCATTAAAAAGGCAATTAAATCACTAAAAGGGGCAATTTCCTCACGTGTAAAAGGGGCTTCA